AGGTATAGGAGGTATAGGAGATATAGGAGGTATAGGAGATATAGGAGGTATAGGAGGTATGGGAGGTATAGGAGGTATAGGAGATATAGGGGATATAGGAGATATAGAAGATATAGGAGATATTTTGGTGCTTATATATACAGATGCTCATCTCTTTGGTGCTTCATAATTGATATATGCTATTTGAAATATACACGATTTTTGTAATCATTTGAAACGGTGGGTACAATCAATTGGATATAAGAATACATTTTTTGCGTATTGGATGTCTGATCCTAACAAGTTATTCGAAGTTCTTGCGTCGTGTATTGGACCGACGCCGTTGCCATATGTATGTCGAATGTATATCGATCTTTCGATCCTTCCATCATCGGTTTTACCATCTGATTCACGTACACAAATTATTCAAACTGCTGTAAATGAACGTTTTCAAAGTCAATTTACCATTGATCAAATTCGGATATTAACAAATCTTATTGCTATGAATATTTTGTTTGTTCGTAATATCTTTCTCATGGATGATTTAGCTTATAATAGCGTTAGAATAAAAATCAATCACACTACCATCGATGTCTTACATGATTTACTACTTTTGCCGTTTACCACGACATGTATCAATTGCCAACAAAAATTAACAGTATGATACAAAAGTGATCCACATCAGTTACTCAAAACTTGGAGCCTATCCATTTGACAAAAGTTTTCCAATCAAACTGGTTCTTATATAACATTATTTGGTTTGAGTTTATGCTCAGTAAAGGTGAAGTAGTTGTTATGCCTAATTCATTGAACCGTTCAGAACTTGAACATCATTTTGAAAAATCATCTACCTGGTGGTATCACCTTTTTTCCGTATTTTGGTCACGTCACAAGTTACTTCCAAATATGAAATGTAATTCCACTAATTGTAGTAAATGTATTATTGTCGACGGTCATCAAAAGTCAAAGCGAATAGTTTGTGAATACATCAACAGAATTAAAACATAGTTATCATTTGATTTATACAAATACAAATGTACGATTTGAATCACAACAAATCATCTTTCAATTCATTACCATGATTTTGTACCATTGTTCACAATTTATACTATCACATTTATGTCACCAACAATTTTTACAATCAATTAATATACATGCATAAAATAATTTCGATAATTGTCTTAAACATTTACAAACAATTTTAACTCATACAAATTTCTGTAATTGTACAATACCTTCAACTAATATAACTTGCAATAACTTTCAAAAGCTTCTATTCAAAAGTACTTTTATTTTTTCGTTATTTATTTAATTAATCTGATTTTATTTTCAATAGATTCAAATGGTTTTTACCAATGGATATTTGATCTTCATGTTTATAATAAAAATCAACAATTCAGATTATACAAAGCAACGAAATTTGGACAAGATAATCCTTTATTAACGACATCTGATTTTCCTTTCAATGGGCAAAATGAACAACATGATATGTTTATGAATAATGTCATCAATTACGATACTATTCTTAATCATGCATTAATATCTTATACAATAAATAATACAAATCTTTTAATCGTTTCATATAATGAGAGTAAATGGTCATTGACCGACCAAAATAAAAATCACATAATTGACATAACTGCTACCAATTATTTTACATCTTTAATTGTACCAAACAAATCCACGTTCGAGACTAATAGAATACAAAGAACAACTACAATAAATACAACTGAAGCATCCAACAAACAAGATCATTTTAAAAATTTTGTATTAAAACTAATAAAAAAAATATATCATGGAAATGGTTACGTACTATCATGTCAACAAGGAACCAAAAATCAATCTCTATTTTTTTATAACATTGGTGGTGAATTTCGCTATTGTGAACATTTACGGCGTCATCATAAATCAAATCGAACTTGTATTATTATTGATACTTTTACATATAAATATCAAATTAAATGTAAAGATCCGGATTGTAGAAATTTCAAACCACCACGGAAAGACATTTCTTAATTTATCGAATAAATATTAAATCATCATTTCGAATTATGAAAAAAAGTAAATATCTTTATTCTCGCTAAAAAAATGTTAGTGTCGTTTAACTCCTTTTTTTTCTCTTTGCTCATATATTGTAAGCATCATTTTCTTAATCATATATTATCGAATAAATATTAGATCATGATTTTGAACTATGAACAAACAATTTGAAATATCTCTTATTCTCTCTAGAAAACGATATTATTGTCGTTTGACTTTTTTTTTTTACCCTTGCTCGTATTTTATAAGCATCATTTTTATTAATCATATATTATCGAATAAAAATTAGATCATGATTTTGAATTAAGAACAAACAATTTGAAACATCTCTTATTCTCTCTAGAAAACGATATTATTGTCGTTTGACTTTTTTTTGACCTTTGCTCGTATTTTATAAGCATCATTTTTATTAATCATAAATTAAATATCGACATGTTTAAACACGTAACGAAAGATTTCTAGTTGTGCTGGTGTGGTGGTCAATTCCAGATGTCATGGTGTAATTTGTAAATAAAACATATATGATATCTTAATTTAAAGTTACAAGTTCAATGCTAATGGCCAGAGCTGAGCAAATACGGAATTTTTCAAATACGAGTACCAGCACAAGTATCGATCTTCCAGTACGAGTACGTAAGAGTTTCCTAAGACTTCATTACAGAAAATTTAATTAATAGGTTTAGAAATGACGCATTAATTTTGAGATCAATAGATTATGACAGTCATGAATCAAAATATTCCCATTATAGGCTTTTTAGGGTGTGGGCATGTGTGTAATTGTGTGTGTTTATGAATGTGGGTCTTTTTTTACCGAAACTTGCATTCTAATTGAGTCACAATCTTACAACAAGACATTTATTTTATTCAGTGGGAATAGATCATAGAGATGAAATGAAAGAGCAACTATATAACATATAGAGACAAATCAGCTATCAATTACATATTATATGAGTAATGAAGGAAACTAATAAAAAAAAGAGTACATCTGGTATTATACCATAGTGTGGCGTCTATGCCATTATCTATATACATATGTATAGAACAAAAGAAGAAATGAGCTGTTTATTTCATTCTTGGAAAATACAAACTCAATTATGTCCTAGGGTAAGAGGCATAAAGATATATAGGTATAGGAGATATAGGAGGCACAGAAAACACAGTAAATATTTATCTTTTTTTTATAATAGATTTTTTCGAGCAAGGATCGATAAGTTGAATGAGATATAGAAGGTGTAGGAGACACAGTAAACGGTTATTTATTTTTTATGATTGATTTTTTCGAGCAAGGGTCGATAAGTTGAATGAGATATAGCAGGTATAGGAGACACAGTAAATAGTTATTTATTTTTTATGATTGATTTTCTCGAGCAAGGATCGATAACTTGAATGAATATATCTGACTGAATCACTATTCGAAGTCAAGCACTGCATAAAGATTATCTGCACTACTTAATTAATATCTGCTACATCTCCTATACCTTCTATATCTCCTATACCTCCTATATCTCTTATACCTCCTATACCTCCTATATCT